AGCCACTGCAGCACCAGTTTAATCCCCAGCCAGCCAGAGAGCAGGGGTTAAAGTCTCAGAACCCACATGGCTCACAGATCTCACCTGACTAGCCTGCTGTTCCCCTCAGCAGTGTATTTCAGTAGTTCTCCCTGTTCTGCTCCCCACTATCTCTGGTGAAGCGTCTCACCCCTGTAGCCTCTGGCTTACACCCCAGTTCTTGTATGCATAAATAATAAAAATGTTTTAAAAATTAATTTTCATGCACCACAAAATTAAAACTATATCTATCACCTAATGACAACATGTAGCAATGATTTTAAGGTAAATGGATGAATCAGATAATCTCTAAAATGTTCTATGGCTCAGAGTTTTTGTAATCCCCAAAATTAAAGATATGCCTAGTTTAATTCTAATAACAGTTGATACATTACTACAAAATATTCTCAGAAATAATTTATTAGGATTCCAATCTAATTTTTTAGTAGTAGGGCTGCAATATAAATTATCATTTGAAAAACAGTTAACAGTTTAGGGAACTGAATTTAGCAGAATACTATCAAACCGAACAGTATGGACCTATAGAACTTCAAGAGAAAACAGGTATAATCAAGTGTGAATTCAAAACTATGGATATGGTAATAACTTCTTAGATATAACACCAAAATTACAAATGACAAAATTAAAAATTGAAAGGGCTTCAAAGGAATCCATCAAGGATGCACAAACATAGGTAAGAGAATAGGAGAAAATATTTACAAATCACTTATCTGGTAAGAGGGGCTTGTATTCAGAATAAAAACTCTTGGTTTCTCCTTCAGTCTAGAAGTAAATTGTTAAAAGTAACTACTACAGATTCCAGTGCTTTGACAAACCTCAGATGTGTGACCTTCTGGTCAAGCAGCTCTGATTTCATATTGTTGGAATATTTGTTATAACTCTAAGGATTGCAGCTTTAAGCTTGCTCTAGAGCAAAACCAAAAAAGAAAAAAAAAAAAAAAAAAAAAAAGAAGGCATATATAGATTTCTACAGAAATTCAGATTCCAGGGGAGATTCTGAAGAGATGAGGAAGGCCAGTAACTTTCAGAGTGCAAAGTGAACTTTCTGGAATGTAAAGAATTTCTTTGGGTTGACGTCCATGAAAGCATGTCATTGACTTGAGCTTCTGAACTAGCAAACATTAAATATTAGGGCTAAGATATAGTTTCTCTTGATAACAACTAACAAGTCAAAAAAAGAGAACTCTCACAACAATGGTAAAAAGACACATTAAGTTTTTATGTGAACAAAATATTGAATAGCTATTTCTCTAAGAAATATACCAATAAACACAAGAAAAAATGTTCAACATTATTAACCATAAGGGAGATGCAAATCAAAACCATAATGAGATAGCACTCACACCCTCTAGGATTGCTATAATTTTTTTTTAGAAAGGACAGTAACAATTATTGACCAGAATGTGTAGAAACTGGAACTTAGGCTTCCCTGGTGGCACAAGGGTTTAAGCACTGTGAAGTTATCTGCAGCTTCTGGAGCAAGAATTCGATCCCCCTACTGGTCAGGGAGCTACCCACATGGCGCAGCAGACATCTGTCTTGCCCACTATTTCCCTCAGCAGTGTATTTCAGTCAAAGTTTGACATTTCCTTAGAAAGTTAAACAATTGACCAAATGATCCAGCAATTCAGCTCTTAGGTAAGACTTAAAACAAGTTCACACAAAATCATGTCACAAATGTTGACAGAATTATTCTAAAAAATACAAACAATTGCCAATTAACTGATGAATGAAAACTGGAAATGATCCAAATATCTATCAATTGATGAATGAATAATATGGCATAATCCCCTCAAAATATATATGGTATAATGAAAAGATGGACTATTAGCCATAAAAAGGAAAGAAGTACTGATATAAGCTACAACATGGATGAAACCTCAAAAATACTGTATTATGTAAGTCAGTCACAAGAGGTTCTGTATTATATGATTTCACTTACATGAAGTGCCTAAAATAGACAAATCCACAGATATAGAAAACAGATTATTGACTTCCAATGCTGAGAGAAGAGGGATTTGGGGGTTAGCTGCTAATGGATAAGGCTTTTATTTTTGTGGTGATGGAAATGTTCTGGAATTAGAGGTAAAGGATGTGAATTCATTAAAAATCACCAAATGGTACAAATTTTAACGAAAGGATAAATTTTATGGTTAGTAAAATTTTAAAGTTAGTATAAATTTTAAATAAATTTTAAAGTTAGTATACTTCAATTTAAGATAGAAGAATGTGCCATCACAAACTGATGCAGAAGGTTCAAATTTTGGTTCTCAAATTTGGAAGAGGAGTGGCAAATACATGCTAATTAGGAATCATATTTCCTCCCGCCTTCCTGTGGTCTAGAAACACAAACAGTGATCTCCTGTGACACATAATCATAAAGGAAATCTAAAAAAGAAAAAAAATAAGACAGGAAACTTGCTTTTTTCCATTGATAGCTCACAAAGAAACAGACGTCAGATTCTTTTTAAAAAGCTGAGTATCTGTGGGCCTCCTTGGTAGCCTAGCGGTTAAGTCTCAGAGCTACCACCTCAATAGCCCTACCTGGGCAAAGTGGCCTGAGCTCAATACAGGCCAGGGAGCTAACCCACATGATGCAGCAGGCCTCTCCTGTTTCACCAGCTGCTCCCCTCAGCAGTGTATTTCAGTGGATCTGCCTGTTCTGCTCCCCACTCTGTCTATGGTGAATCCTCTAAACTACCCCCTTCCTGCCCTGGCATCTCTGGTCTACATTCCAGTTCTTGTATGCAAAAATAAATAAAATAAAAATCTTACAATAAAGGAAAAAAACAAAAGGTGAGTACCTAATAGGGGTAGTATAAGAGACCTATAACAGGGCCTCCCCGGTGGCGCAGCGGTTGAGCGCTGGGTTGCGAACCTGCCCGCGGCTTCTGCGGCGCCAGTTCGATCCCCGGCTGCTCCCCGGCCACCAGAGGAGGGTCCCACATGGCGTGCAGACCTCTCCTGCCGCCCGCTGCTCCCCTCAGCAGTGTACTTCGGTCCTTCTGCCTGTTCTGCTCCCCGCTCTGGCTCTGGTGAATTCTCTCCCCCTCCCGCACTTCTGACTGTACCCAGTGCATGTATAAACAAAACAAAGAAACAAATAAATAAAACATGCCTCTATTAAAAAAAAAAAAAAAAAGAGACCTATAACAAATTAATATATAACTCACAAACAACTTCAGAGATCTATTACATGAAGAAATTTGTAATTTTTTTATTATCCTTATTTTATATTAGAAAAACAGGGTATATTGTTAAGTGGAAAAGTTAAAATTAAAACTAGGTTTATCTGAATCCAAAGTTTGTGCTCATTCATTCCTTCAAAATTTACTGAGTCAAACAAACAAAAATTTACTGAGGATCTACTACATACCAGGCACTAGATTATTTCCAGGGAAATAATAATGACATCGGGGCTCTGAAGAATTTAGTAGGTATGGGTAATTAAAGTGTCAGGGGTGGAGAAATACTTGATATTGTGTGGTCAAGAAAGGCTTCTCTGAGAAAGTATTTTTGAAACAAAAACCAGAGAGAAAAAAAAGAAAGTGAGCCATCCAGATATGTGCAGAAGGGCAATCTAAGCAGAGGAAACAAGGGCAAAGGCCCTGAAGACTCTTTGGATTATTTTCTAAGACAAAGAAGTCACAGTAAGGATTTGAATGAAATGTAAAGTGACTCTTGACTTTTGTTTTTTCAAAGAACTTAAATAATAGGTTGAGAAAAGACAAGAAAGAGAATAAGGGCAGAACTAAGGAAACCAGTAATGAAGCTGTTAATATAATCCAAGATAATGATTTATATCAAAGAACAATTCAGAAGAAAAAAATAAACAACAGAATTCTGAATACATTTTGGGTAGAGCTAACTGAATTTGCTGATTTATGGTTTGACTATGGGGTGGGATGAGAAAAAGGTTTCTTTCTAGTTGAACAAATGTAAGAGTGAAGTTGCCATACACCAACAAGGGTAATAGGACACAAAGAAAAGATATGGGGCTATTTTTTACATGCTTAACTCTGTTAATCTCTTAACACTGAACTACATATTGATTTTTGTGCAACATAGTTATAAGTAGTGAAACAGAACCTGAATCCAAGTCTTCTAATTCCAGATCCTGTGCTTTTTTTCTACGGAAGTTTTACAAAAGCAAATGAATATTGGGGCCTCCATGGTGGTGCAGGGGTTAAAGACAGGGCTAATAAGCTACCAGGGGCCAGGGAGGTCACCCACATGGTGCAGGCAACCTTTCCTGTCTCATTCACTGCTCCCCTCAGCAGTGTATTTCAGTAGATCTGCCTGTTCTGTTCCTCCCTTTTTCTCTCACGCCCCACGCCCCCCCTCCTCCAACCTCTGGGTCTATACTCCAGCTCTTGCATAAATAAATCTTTACCAGAAAAAAAAAAAAAAAAAAAAAAAAAGGCAAATGAATAAAGTAACTCAAACCAAAAACTGAATTCAGAAATAAAGGCTATTAAGTGAGGAAATTTTTAAAACACCTGACAAGCATGAAGAGGTATTTTGAAGACAATATTAATAATGAAGTTAGACAGCAATGACAGAAAGGTGTACTGACAAACACTAAATTACTGAGTGCGCCAATATATGCATAAAGAACTTTTCAAAATTTGATTCATAAAATTTAAGAAAAATTTTAAAAAAAGATAACTTGATACATTACATGAAGTAACTTTACAGTTTAAAGTATCAGAACTACTTTCCTCTTGTTTTCTTAGGTAGGAGTTACAAAATAATACTTAAGTGATTAACTCGAGTGAGAAGCTAAATAATTATCCCAATGGTTTCTACACAATGCCAAACTTGTTAATAGATAGATAATGTTCATTATCTACAACTTCACGGCATCAGTAGACTGAAGAGCTTGGTTTCTAATTGCAACTTCGCTATTCAGTTGCTATATAATTTATGGTAAGTTACTTTCCAAACAAGTGATTACTTACCAAAAGTCTGTCTCTATTAGAATGAAACAGGATGATATGACTTTCCATTTTACAGGGTTGGAATAAGAATTGAGAGTGAAAATCTGTGAAAAACATTAAAGTATGGCATATATATATATATCAAGAAAATAAGTTAACTTTCCTTTGAATATATACATATGATCTTTAAATTATTCCTTTACAGGTAATCAACCTCCCTATTAAAGAATAACTTAGTAGAGTTCTCTAAAATATAATTAAACTAATGCAGAATTTGCAATTTGGGAATGCTTTTTGAAATGTCAAAGGGTAGAAATTTACTGCAGTAACTATGTGCACAATTAAAGGGCAGAGAGGAATAATTTTTCCTATCCTTATGCAAATATATGGCCTAGAGGAGTGAAAGACACCTGAAAAGTTAAAGGAAACATTCAAATTCTCTAGGTCAAAAATACAAAGGATCTCATAAAATAGTAATTAACAGCAAAAAGTACCACAATGACCACTTTGAGAATTAAGCTATGATTACCTTATCAAAAAAAAAAAAAAAAAAGAGAGAGGCATACAGCAGGGGAGGGGTAGGAAGATGGGTCAAAATAGGGCAGGGAAGAGTGACAGTTCACAGGTGATGAAGTGATGGGAGATTTATGGGGAATATACATGAGCAATCAAATATTATACAAAAATAAACAACAATGTAAGAAAATTAAAAACATTTAATAAAAAGAGATGATTACCCTAGCTTTACACTTTTGTTGACATTTAGTAAACTTCTACTTACATCTACCATTCACACGGAATACCTTCAATTCTATTCTAAACTGTTAACTCTTTCCTCTTGGCACTTGCTTCCACAGCTTTTACAACTCTATTCCTAGTGAGAATTCAGGCAACCTTCTCAAATACTGTAATTCCAGTTATACTCCCCCAAGTTCCCATTGCTCAGTAAGACTCAGGATCTAAGATGAGAAATAATTTTCTAACTTTTGATTATGCTGTAATACTTCATAATGACATCGAGAGAGCCGCACAGTATCCAGTTGTCAAGGCAACCTGACTACAATAATAGTATTGGTAGAGTCATATTCCACCTCAATCACTACAATGAATTACTTGAGTAAAAAACAATGCAGAGCTATGAAGGATTTATTTCTAAATTATCTGAAAATAAGCACACACCTATAATTGGCCTCCTGTTAGTAAATCTCAATCTCCTTCCATCTAATGAACTCAAATCTAAGACCATTAGACAAAGAGAGGAAAACGCAGAAAATCTACTAAAGTAATTCAATTGACCATATCTCTCAATTACAGTATCACTGTTTTTAGAATTGACAAATATCATTGACTTTCACACACTAACATTCTTAAGACAATGTAAGGGGAATTTACATCTACCATTAATAAATTTAGATGGTCTAATTAGAAAATTATAACAGGAATACTTAAAAACTTTCAACATAAGAGGAGTCTGAATGAAACAATTTTGAAAATCAGAAAATATATCCAGGAGATTAAACTTGCTAAATAACATGAATGAGTCAACAGGGTAAGAAAAAAAATTACAAAGTGGAAAAAAAAAATACAATCTTAGGGTGTAAATGAAAAAACATACCCCAATATTATTAAACTTTTAAGAAATATTTCAAATCGCATAAAAATTCACCAAATAATGTTTCTGCAGTTTGAAAACAGAAAGTTTGTACCAAATAATCAAGTCCTGGAGCCTCCATGGTGGTAAAAGGGGTTAAGACGCAGCACTATGAAGCTATTTAGTTCTTTCCTGGCCAGGGAGGAGTCCCACATGGCGCAGCAGACCTCTCCTGTCTCGCCCCTGCTCCCCTCAGCAGTGTATTTCAGTCAATCTGCCTGTCCTGCTCCCTACTGTCACTGGTGAATCCTCTTATCCCCCACGCCTCTGCCTTGTACCCCCGTTCTTGTATGCATAAATAAATCTTAAAAAAAAAAATCAAGTCCCTAAAAGGTGAAATCTAAAAGCTTGTACAAACCACCTTCTATTTAATAATTATGATTTCTAGAATTATTAAAATGAAATGTAGATCTATTTCTTTACTCTTGCCAAGTTTATTTTTTTTAAGGATTTATTTATTTATGCATACAAGAGCCGGGGTACAGGCCAGAGGTGTGTGTGTGTGGGGGGGGGGGCGATGAGAGGATTCACCAGAGACAGAGTGGGCAACAGAACAGGCAGACTGACTGAAACACACCGCTGAAGGGAGCAGCAGGCAAGACAGGAGAGGTCTGCTGCACCATGTGGGTTGCTCCCTGGCGGAGCCTGGAATTGAACTCGCCATGTGGGTTGCTCCCTGGCAGGCCTGGGATTGAACTCATGCTGCAGAGGCTGCGAATTGTTTCATAGTGCAGTGCTTAATCCCTTGCTCCATCAGGGAGGCCCTACTCTTGCCAAGTTTAAGTACTGCTCAGAGCCCACCATTCTCTAAGAAAGCATTCTTAAAAAGACATAGGAAAGAAGGGCTCACATAAGTTAGTTTTTTTTAATATATTCATTTCTTGGTAGGTTGTTATAGATTTGTCTTATTTTATTTTTTAAAAAGATTTATTTATGTATACAAGAGCTGGGGTACAGGCCAGAGGTGTGGGAGGGGGGAGGGAAGAGGATTCACCAGAGACAGAGTGGGGAACAGAGCAGGCAGACTGACCAAAGTACACTGCTGAGGGAGCAGCGGGGCAAGTCAGGAGAGGTCTGCTGCGCCAAGTGGGTTGCTCCCTGGCAGGCCAGGGATCGAACTCGTGCTGCAGTGGTTGCGGATAACTTCATAGGTTGCATCTTAACCCCTTGTGCCACTGGGGAGGCACTCACATAAGTTTTAAAGCTACAATCCTAAGTGTATGTTGAACAACTCTAGCAATATTACAAAGCAGAACTTCCCCACCATTTCAGGTGTGCCAGAATACTGATTCCCATTCCAAATGTTTTACTGGGAGCTAGTTGCATAAGGCTTCCATTTTCCAACAATCTTACCCACCTACTATGCAATTCAAAAATTATTTTCTATGTAAGCCATGACTGAAAAAAAGGTTGGAAGACGCTTACCATGTAAACTATAAACTAGTTAGAACCCCAACTTAAAATATACACTCTATCCAATAAGAAATTCAAAGTCTGGCCTCCCTGCTGGCCGAGGGGTTAAGTCTCAGCACTATAATGGCTACAGCCTGAGTCAGATCCCCTGGGCAGTCCTCTCTAGTCTCCCCTGCTGCTCCAGCTCCCTTCACAAGGTATTGGATTTAGGTAGATCCACCTGTTCTGCTCCCCACTCTGTCACTGGTGATTCCTCTCACCCCTCCCCACCTTACACACCTCTGGCCTACACCCCAGTTCTTCTAAGCAAAAAAAAAAAAAAAAAATCAAAGTCTACCCTTATCTAATGTTATTAAACTCATTCTAAAAGACAAATTTCTTATCAATTCAAGTAACCAAGTACTATGATTGCATAATATGCATGTTTTTAAAAATACAGGTCTTCATACAGCTTAAGCAACCTCTTCAGTAGCAGTAATATCCTGGTATGGGCAAGATGAATGTACTAAAAGCTTCTGAAGTACATACATGGTCAAAGCATCATTCTTGTTTAAGCAAAATATCCATTTCCTAATCTCCTTCCAAGCTTCTTCTTTATAGCACTATCACCTTTTAATATGAAAATAAACTTAAAAATATTTTATTTTTCTTTCCCCAAATAAATTGTTATATCCACAAAGAAACATGGTCTACTTTTGTTCACAGTTGTATCCCCAGTATCTAGATGAGTGCCTGACACAAAGTGAAGTTTCAAACTGATGAATGAACAAATTTCATAAATTGGTTGTAGTTTTATTTTAAACTAGTGGTTTTGAAAAGTATGATGGCTAGGAAAGAACTCTGCTCACCAAAGACACGGAATAACCACACATGTAGTGTTGTGTTTTTCATGTAACCTGACTTATCAATATTAAAATCTTTTTCAAGAGGGCACCAAAAAATCTGCATCTGATTTTAAAAACAAAAATAAAAGACTTAATTTTATTTTAGTTAAAATGGAGAACACATCCATTTTCCATTTCTTTAATCAGAAGACACAAAAGAATTTAAGGTGATAAGTTAGAAGTACTTGGGACACAAAAACAGTACTGCACTGGCAAGTATTTTTTCCCATTGCTTAAGCTGCCATGTAAAAGTCAAGACTACCAAACACTAAGTTCTGGACCAACTCAGTTTCTTCTCTTAAAAATTGAAATCTACCTTTTCCAGACACTTGAAGTCTACAGCTAACGATCTAATTGGTTATGCCTAAATGTCTTTTTTCAAATATAATTACAAGTGTTTTGGAATTTAATCTTAATTTTTAGTATTAAGTACTTCTAACCTTAGTACAAATTACTTAAATCTGTTGTACTGTCCATCTACTGTTCAACTAGTGTGCCACACTTCCTTTTTTGGCCTCAAAGGAGGAAACTTCTCTAATGTCTCTGGGGAGTCTAGTGTAAAATATGTTTCCTGAAATTGTTGTTTTTTTCCTGCACCATTTCACGACACTATAACTAGCAATGGTATATGTGTGGGGGTTTTCTTTTTCTATACTGCAAGAAAGTCCAGAGAAGCAACGGTCAAGAAAATATTGTATGGAAAAACAGATTCAAAGAGGAAAACTAACACAGAAGTGTGAAGCAAATAAATGTGTAAAAGAGGATGGACGCAAAAAAAAGATGAAAAACACAGTTCTTGCTTAGAGGGAACAAAACAAGGGAGGTTGGTGGGTGGGGGATTAGTTTATTTTCCTAGAAACAAAAGCACAAAATCCTACGAACAACGTGGTCTCTTTATTAAGGAGATGTTGACACTCTAAATAGGGCTCGGTTGACTAAAAAACTAAAGTTCTACCTTCTCTTCCTATTTTTCTGTGGTATTAGTCTTTATCTGTAAAGTAAATGCAGGCTACCGATAATGCAGAGTCTCTACAAAACTGCAACTGTGGTTGCCATCTTTGCCTGGAAAAAAATCAAACTCACCGGGTTTGGAGAAAAAAAAAGTATATTAAGTTGAAAAACCAGAAAACTACGCATTGCCAAGTCAGGTAGATGCGACAGGGTTAACAAATGCCTCCTACCAAAGTGAGCTTTCACTCCGTCTCTGGACAAGGGCAAACGGCAGCAGGAGCCTTTCGGCGACCGCAAGGGTGGGGCACCGGAGGAAAAAAAAATTTGCGAACGAGCTATCCCGGGAGGTATAAGGGGGCCGGTGACCCCGCTCTCGCGGACACTGCAGATCTGATGGAAAATGCTCTGGATGGACTAAGGGCAGCTTGGAGGAGAGTGAGAAACTGGAGCTGCTGAACGAACGTTCGTGCAGATCGCGGAGGCTGACAGAGGCAAGCACCCACGGGGCAGAGGATTCAGAGCCGAGAGGAGGAGAGCCGAGGGGCCAAGCAGCCAGGGACCAGACGCGGGAGGCCTGAGCAGAGACCGCGAAGCGTCTTTGCAGCTCCCTGCCTTCTCCCGGGGCGCCTCTCCAGTCCCCCCACGCTCAGCCCCTCTCAGCGCCGCCCTCGCCCGGGCGACAACGGCGAGCAGCTGTTTCCGCCCGGCCCGGGACCCGGAGGAAAAGGCATCCCTGGGGCGGGAGGGCAGGCCGGCGGCGGCCGTCTGCGAGCGGAAGGTGTTTCCCAACCACTGCCGCGGAGCCACCTCCAAAACTTCGCCCTCTCCTCTCCTGCCTCCAGCCCTCTTTATCCGCCAACTTCCCCGCCGCCTGGTGTCCGCTTCGACCGACCAAGGACCACCCCCACCCCCCCGCGCCCTTCTCGCCGCCTCTCACCCCTCCCGAAGCCCCTGAAGCTGGGGCAGGACCGGCCGCCAGGGCCTCTCCGGAGCCGCACGAGCGCCCCAGAGTCCCGGTCGCCTCCCCCGACTGTACACTCGCATCCTCTCCGCGGCTCCCTCACCCGCCCAGATGCTGCAAACTCCTCTCACCTGCATTGACGCCATGATGGAACCATCCCCCCAAGGCCGGCGAGGCCAGAGACGCAGGGGGCGGAGCTGCCGTGCTCGCGTCACGC